AAACAATTTCTCAAAAAGTTTACCAAGAAATGCCGATAAAACGTTCATTATTACTGCAACAAATTAACACAACACACCTACCAAGCAGTTACTCTTTGCACAAAAATTTATCACTAACAACACGGGTTTAATAATAAAAAACCAGACACACACCGACATACCACCACGAACCCACCATGCAAAACACAATAAAATGGGATTAATTAGAAGAAAAATAATTAGAAAATATGGTAAAATTTTATGAAATAAATACGATGATAAGATTATTTTTGAGTAAAAATCAAATTTAATTATGTAAAATTAATACAATTATTTTTCTGTGGTCTGTTTATATCTCTCTCTCTATCTCTCTCTATTTCTTCCTCACTCTTTCTATTCATCCTCTGAAATCGGTGAGATCATGAAATAGAGAGAGACCGTTGCGATATAAAAGAACTTCAAAATTTCAAAATTTCACTTTGGTTAGTGAGGCCTTACAAGAAGTTTTCTATCGCTAACAAATACTCTCTGTATTTCAGTTTTATTTATAATTGAATAATTAATTAATTAATTAATTACACTTAAATCATTTAAAATCTTGAATTGATTTAAAAAATGTTAATATCTTAATAATTATTCATTTATAATTTATTCATAATTTATTCGTATCTATCCATAAAAAGGCGTCTAATATTTTTTCCCATGAAATAACATTCCAGATTTTATTACAATCTTATAGTTAATAACATCCTAGCTATAGGCAGCATTAACAGCATTGACATAAATTTCAACGGTGATAACATTAACATAGAAAACATCAACAACAGAAACAACAAAAATATAGATAACATCATTATCAATAACAACAACAACATAGAAACGACAGCAACAACAACGTAGAAACGATAACAACATAGAAACAACAACATAGAAACAACAACAGCAGCAACAACAACATAGAAAAAAAACAACAACAACATAGAAATAACAGCAGCAACGACAAAAACATAGAAACAACCACAACAACTGCATAGAAATAACAACAACAACATAGAAACAACAGCAACAACAACATAGAAAAAACAGCAACAACAACATAAAAACAACAACAACATAAAAACAACGTCAGCAATTACGTCATCAACCTAACGCAATGTTCAATCCATCCTATCATCATTCGTTTCTTCCATTCAACTTTTTCGCCTCCTCCAGTCCGTGTCAGTATGGAAAAATTATTCGTAGCTAGTATCATATTTATCTATAATTATCTATAATATAATTTTATAATATTATAAAATCTATAATATTATATATATATTATCTATATTTATCTATAATATTATTCTTATTACTTACTATCACTATTTCTATCACGCAAAATTGGTTTATCACGGCCATATGTTTTATTGTAATTGAACTATAGTGCTGTATTCCTTTTTTTTTACAAAGTTATTAATAAATGTGAGAGCAGCTGAGATTAAACGGGAGCTTTCAGTTTAGTAATTTTAAATCTAAGCCATGAAAAATTAGAAGCAGAAGTCCCATTACTGTGATAGTGTTGTGATAATGAACATTTTTGTAATATTTAAAAAGGTGACAAAGCCACAAATCATTCGATTGAAAACCAAGAATTAGTAAAAGTAGAAATGTTTTTAAATTGAACACCTGTGATAATTTGTCAGTTGGTGGGTTACATTGGAGTGAAAAAACTTTAAAAAATTTGTTTATTTTTAATACACCAATTTTTGGTCGATTTGCAACTGAAAACTGAGTTTTGCTGAATTTTAATAAAATTATTAGGACTCACAACGGGGGGTCATGGTCCTCTCTGGCCTCTATGGCCCCCCTTGGCCTCCTACCAACCGCCATTTCATAAATCTGGTAAAAAACTACCAGCTTAATTCAATATATAAGCGTTACATTCTAAAAGAATTCGAACTATAGTGCGTGTTTAATAATACAAGATGGTAATTATTCGGTCTATTCAAGATACTATATATCAAAAATGGCCGGGTTTCTATTATCAAATTATACCTTTTCATACTGGTAAGGTTGAGTAGGTACCACATGAATCTGGTAAAAGACTACTGACTTTATTCGCCGCATCAGCGCCACATTCCAAAAAACCTCTCAGTAACGCTGACGTAATAATAGCTATTCGTCAGTTCAAGATATTGTGCACACAAAATGTTGGGATTTCCGTCAACAAGTTATACATTTCAACATAAAAGGGACTACTGACCCTGGATTGCTTTGATGTTTTGAAAAAGTTTGATTCGCAATGGCAAATATGTTTTCCATGTTAATTTTGTAAGTGGTTCTAATTAATTAGGTCTCCTAATCATTTTCATTTAAATTGTGTGGATAAAAAATTTGATTCGATGTGAATGTATCTGATCGAGAAAATCAAATTTTTTCTAAAATCTGAAACAATTAAGCTAAAAAACCAAACGGATGTTCTGATAGAAACAAGACTATAAAATATAACCGCCAAGGCGTCATCCATCCATCAATAGAATTAAATAAATAATTGAACATTAATCGTCAGATATCTTCATGCAACATCGATACAACATCTAAACGTTAACAATATGCAAGCTTTCATAAAAAATAAAGTCAAATCTTATTAAAAATCTAAATATATAACTAATAAATGATTTACAATTAATTATCCAAAGTGATTAAAATTTATAATTTTAAAATTTAATTCAGTCGTTATTTCAATGCGCCAGCCAGCCACTCTCATAGAAGCACTCACATCGGAGTTTCGGCATCCTTAAAAATTCAAACTCTCAACTCATCCATTGTTGGTTCTCGGTGCAGTCTTCATATACAAAAAAGCACGTCTGACCTCGTGTGTGTGTGTGTGTGTGTGTGTGTGTGGTGTGTGTCAAGCGATTGTTGACTGCGGTAGAGAAAACTGAGTGATTTGGTTTCTCTGGTTCAGATGATTCATTTTGCACTCCGTTCCCTTTATTTAATAAAGCTTATTTAAAAATTATTGTCATCAGCGTCTGAATTCGCGTATATTTTTACGGTGTATGTATAATATATGTTGTTAGTCGATTTTGTAATAGCATTTGTTAGGTAAGATGTTTCCAATTTTATCATAGATTTTAAATTCTATTAATTTTTTTAGCGATTCTCTCAAATTTATCAGTTTACTTCTCACTGACAGAAAAGAAAGATAAACACACACATACACGCCACGCATACACAGACACACACACACACAATCAAACAAACACACACACACACACACACACAACGAAACACACATACACCCAATAAAACATTTTTTCAGTAAAATATAAGCACTTGAGTTTGCGGAAGCAAAAAGAAATAAAAAAATCTCAGTATGAAGATAATTTCAATTTGAAAGCACTAATGCAATAACCGACGACAAAGAGAGCCTACATACCTTTAATAGTTTTAAATGCAATGTACGGATTCAATGGCGGCCTCCTAGAGAGCTATTAATAATGAAAGATGGAGATATGCCATGTCCGTCTGTCTCCATCTCTATCTTACTATAAGCCTGTATCATTCCGTGTGTAGACCTGCACATGTGATCATAATGCGGTGTCATTTATGTAGCAAATTTTTTGATAGACATACAAAATTCGTCTAGATATATTTGCATAAAAATGAATATAAACTTGTATATAATTTGAATGTTACACGCGAGTACAAACTACTTGCCAACTACGCAACGCACGTTTTTATTAACATTTAGTTACGTGTAAAATTGTAAAACGCTCTTATCAGTGTTGTTATTATTATGTATATTATTGATAAGAAGAATAATAATATTTGATATTTGTATGTTTCTCTTCTCTCTCTCTCTCCCTCTCTTTCTCTCTCTTTCTATCTTTTTTCTATCTCTATATTTTTCTTTATTACAATATTTAGGCTACATCCATATACATTCAAAAATGTTTATATTGTATCAAAACAATATATACCTAATTGAATTACAAATTAAATTTGATTTTGTTTAAGTTAGTAAATTTACAGTTTACTGTCTAAATTAAAAAAATCATTATTTAATTTCGTAATTGAATGAAATTTTCTAAATTTACGTAATAAAATTAACTAAGAATAAAAATCACTCAAGAAATTGTTCAATTTTTAAGTGAATAGAATTTATGATGGTCGTCATTCATTGAATTTAAGAGCCTGCTGATGTTGAATATTTAATTCCTTCCAGTTCAAACTGACCGCCGAGTGCAGATTAATTCTCTAAATTTGAAATTATTGTCGTCTTTTTTAAATAGAAATTTATTGATGCTTATCGGAAATAATCGTTATATATACTGTAATACAACACACACACGCGCGCACACACAGATACACGGGCGCGCGCGCACACTCACATGTGTATGTGTATGTTTTTAATACTGTCAATTAAATCATCATTATTAATCATGTGATGAAGTTGCCTTAATTGACTAATTCATTTAGAATTAGCATAAAAACTGATGTTACTGAATCCATAAAGTATAAAAAACTTGTAAAAATTACAAATGAGAAACAAGCAATTGTCACGAAACTTTCATGCGGGTAACGGTAACAAAGAGCACGTCGCCTTCGTATATAAGATCAAATATTTGTAAGAACTTGAAAATTTGGCACTGTTCAATTTTTTCACTTTACGAAATTTCAAACTACTCGATATGAAAGAGTTAAACTGAATTAAATTATTAAAATTGGTTACAAAATGTTGAAAATATGACAAAGAAACAATTTCCAAATAAATTGTGTGAGTTTTAAGACGTTTTAAAAAGTATAGCGACTAAAACGATTCCGAAGTAGACATTCAAATAAAGATCATGATAGAACTCTGCATCTATACCGCATACCTCAACCAACGTGTTCAACCTAAAATAACGTTGTAATAATAGTGTCAACCAACAACAAACACCACACCAGATCGAGTGCCAACTTTTCTGCCGAGCAGTGCCAGCGATGGTAGACTGACCAGTAGTTCCTACCACGGAGACCTCGTGGAGAATGACTTCATGAGGAAGAAGCAGAGAAGGAATAGGACAACATTCAATTTGTTTCAGGTTCAAGAATTTGAGGAATATCTTTTGTTTAATTTTCGAAACTCTATTAAATTATTTTTAATTGTTCTTAAAACCCATGGCAAGATGACAAAATGGTCATCATTTGACGCTGAATAAATACAAAAGATGATACTTCTAAATTTTTCAAATATTTTTGTAATCAAAAAGAATCGCTTACAAAAAAAGCGCTCAGTGAAATCACAAAGTTTTGAATTTAAGCTAATTTTGTTTCATTAATTTGAAATAAATGATTCTGCAAAATATTATTTTTAATTTCGATATTGAAAAAAATGTTTAAAAATTCACCAAATTAAATTCCAACAGCTGGAAGAGTTAGAGAAGGCATTCAGTAAGACGAGATATCCGGACGTGTTCACCAGAGAAGAACTTGCTGTCAAGATTCAACTTAGTGAGGCCAGAGTGCAGGTGACACAAATTATTAATTTTAATACATTATTTTTAATTATAATTATTTATAATTATAATAATTATTATTAATTTTTGTATCTTGTATATACCTAGATAGTGACTTGAATTTTTGTGTTGAGGTCATTAGTTTACTAATTGGTATAAATGATAATTATTTTTAAACGTTTCATGATTTTGATAAGTGTTGAATATATCTCCTGATGATAATAGGCAGCTAAAATTGAATTGGTTTTTATTTGTAATTTTTTTTATATTCTTTTGAATTTGAAATATTTTGTGTATTTATAAATTATTTTGTTTTCACAAACACAGGTTTGGTTTCAAAACAGAAGAGCCAAATGGCGAAAATGTGAAAAAAACATTTCCACAAAAGATGACAAGCCAAAATCGGAAGAGGAAATAAAAACGCGGGACAGCGATTCTTTATCGGAAAAAACTGACCCATTAAAAACTGAAAACATTTGTCTTGAGGAGACTGATCTTGATGACCAACCAACTCCGCCCCAACATTGTCAATCAAATCAACCATCTCAATCGTCAGCCTCAAACCACATTCCAAGCATCAAAACCCTAGATAGCGATTTCCTTATTAATAAAATCATTCAACCTAAGCCAGCGCGATTTTCAAACGCCGACACGGAGAACAACTTTTCAAATTCCAGCAACTTTCATCGGATGCCAGCCCCCTTGTTTCCATTCTTTCCTTCTCTCTTCTTCCCACGTTTCTTCCCACTCCCTTTCATTTCCAACAGTTGCGCCAATTCGACAGTGCACGATACTTTGGCCTTTCAGGAGTACATGATCCGGAACGACGGTTTCAAAATTGTCTGTGAATATGATGGTGAGGCTAACAGAAAATCTGATCACTCGGCTGAAGAATTGAAAATCCTTCGTAGCGATAACGATAATGACTTAGTTCAATATTCAACAGAACCATGACAATTTATGTTGAGTGGAAATTTTGATAAAATTTCTATTATATAATATGTCACTCTCGTTTTTATGTCTTTTTGTTAAATGAAATAAAAAAAATAAGACAAAAGTTTTGTGTACTTTCAATTGAACTATAACGTTGTTCGAAAAATAATGTTTGTTAAAACGTCTACCAACTCTTAAAAATCTTACCGACAATAATCGTAATCATGTTACTAATTGATTGAATGATTGAATGAAGGAATGATTGATTGATTTCCAAACTCGTTTACTTTACTACCATAAACTTTACGATGCTAAACGGCAGCAGTATGCATATTTCTAGGATAATAATTACCATAGAGATTCAAAATTTAGTAACTACTCAGTTATCTATGTTTTTGATCTATCTTTAAACGATCCAAAATAAACTCACCAACAACCAATTAAAAATCAAATTTGCCAATTAAAAAAAAAATTATTAACACAAATTTTAAATTTCTGCCGGCAATGAGAGAATTGTTACACAAAATTTCCGGATGAGACATTTATCGTAGTTGAAAATTAGCACCAAGCCTTGCCTCAAAATTAAGAAACCTAAACGTAGGGCCAGATTTAGACTTTATGAGTCCTTTATGAGTCCATACAACCGGTGGTCAGACGGATGCCAGATGGTTGCCAGACCGTTGCCAAAGACTTCCATTTCCCGACTTAACTTTCAAAAAAGTTATTCATATCAAATTAACTTTACAACTTTTTTGTGATATAAAAATGAGATTTTGTTTGCCATGAAACTAGCGACTCCTAAGAAAATTATAAAAAACGAATTAAATTCTGCAATGTTGTTTGCTTCATTTACTGCAATGTATTCTGGGGATCGACCTTTAAATATCTAACAAACAAATTGCAGGTACTTCAAAAATATTTTTTACGCACTTGCTTTTTTTTAATAGGTCTGATCATAATAAACAACTATTTGCTAAATATAAGATACTAAACATTCATCAAATCAATATATATATAACCCTTGTCTTTATATATGAAGTACAATGTAAACTATAAGTTTGTAAACTCTTTTAAATACACAAAATCATCAACAAGACAGAATGGTATGCTTTACTCTGTTATAAGAAGAACTAGGACAAATGATAGAAATTGGTCGGTTCAAGGAATAAAGCTATGGAATGCTATTGTCAGTGTTGAGGCTGGAACTATGCCAATAAATTTGTTCAAAAATTATGTTAAAGAAAGCTTACTCAGTAATGTTGTTGAATTGGCTGAATTTTGAGAATTGTATGACTTACTAAATTGTATTTATTTTCTTTTTTCATTTCATCTGAACTTGAATATCAATTAATTTCTGCTCAAACTTTTATTAGTAGACAGTTTTTGTTTCTATTGATTATGATATTTTGTTTCTGTTGAATATAACATTTTGATTTATTGCTTTATTCGACAATTATTGAACATCTTGCACCTCAGTTAAGGTAATCAGCACAAGTTTACATTATAACTTATTGATATACATTTGCGATAATTTTTTAATGTATATAATTTAAAAAAAAATTCATTTTGTGACATCAATTTAAATTCTACTCTGATATATTGAGTGATTGTCGTAATTTTTTGTCTTTTCATTTCAAATGTTTTCTTCATATTTGAAACTTTATTTTGTGAGCTCCTATATTTAAAAAAATTTAAAACATTTTAAAATAGCGAGTCATTAAACGTTTTATAAATTTCTTTGGAAATCATGAACAAATTAAGCGGAACCATGATCTTCTAATAAATCTTCAAATATATTGGATCGCAATATT